TAAAAAAAGACCAAGTAAAATTACTTTTTTACATTTGCATATAATGAATATAAATTAATAGCTATAGAAAAAATAACCAATCCTTTCTTTCATGTCAGCATTACATTGAAATTCAGTGTTTTTAATGCACTGTATAATATTACTGAAAGGTCTGGTTAAGAAATAAAAGTAATGATTCTTAAGTTTACTTTAGAATTAAAATTATCTTAGAAGATTTATAATGAAATTTAGAGGGACTCGGTTGGAGTTGAATTTAACTTGCTGTACTGTTAAAACCAATGTTGAACTGAAGTCTGTGTATTTATATCATGTAAATAAAATTTAAGTGTATTCTTAGCATTTAGAAATATTAATACTGAATTATTTGTGAATTTGAACAACACAGCATGTACTTGAAACTCATTTAAATTTTTCTAGTTAAAAATTAAATAAGAAAGACCATGCTACACTTCAAAGTCATAGAATTTAGTATAACAAATAGAATACTTAGCCAATTTTTATTTATAACTTAGTAATATTAATATAAATTTAAGTGTTCATCCACAAAAAATGATGCATGCTTACTTTCAATATTTCCTTAGAATGTAACTTAATGAAGCAGTATTTATACATTTCTCACTTATACCCCTCTTGTATCCATATGCCATTTCATCTCTGTCCTGATTCATACCTGTTTATATTAATGGTAAAATATTTCATTTAAAATGATTCATAACTTTATACACCATTTATCTTCTTTAAACTACTCTTATACACGCCCTCGGTTGGCAACAAATTTCTCGCCAAACCGGCGCCATATTACTATCTAAATTTTTTGTCTACAGTTTGAACTTTAAGCCTAAAATGTCTGCACAAATTTGGTTTTTCTCATGTGCAAAACCCATATTTTTAACACACAATTTACGCCAAAAATCCGACACAAAAACAAAAAATTTAGATAGCAAAAACGTAAAGATTCTAACCAAAAATATATTTGACAATAATCCATGTACACAGCAATCTGTTTTAACTGAAAACAAGTCAGAGAATAGCACAATCTATGCAGCATGAAAAATCTAGGAATTACGCACACCTTGCTAAAATAAACTACATAACAACAATAAATTTTGAACAATACCATGTACACAGCATTCTGTTTTAACTTAAAAAAATCAATGGATTGCACAATCTAGGCATAGCCTCGGCATTGAGCACAAATCAACAGAATAAACTTAAATAACTAAAATAAATTACAAACAATTCAATAAACAACAATAACCACAGAATTAATAGCCAAAAAAAAAGCAATGAACATAACATTCTACAAAACAAGAACAACAATAAAATAAAATGCACTTACCATTGTGAATGTTTCTTCAAACAGCAGAAATATCAATTTGAAACATCAGCAAAACTCATCAGTTTCGACCACTTTATCCTTCCACCCTATCTTCTGAGACACAGGGCATATAAAGCCCAGCATACATTCATGAGTAAAATCCGCATAAACACACCCGGGAACAAAAGACTTGTTAACAACTCCAACATTGTACCTTTTAATACTAAATTTACCTTGCTCACAATCCAAAATATGTGACTGAAATTTTGCCACCACATCTTTCATTGCAACGCAACATAAGCCATTTCAAAATGCCCACCAAACCAGCCACTCCAGCAAAATAAAATTTCAACCAAAAGGGTTTACAACATCAACAACATTGCATCAAAAACCAGTGTGGAACACATATTGCCACATCTGGCAATGCCATACATCTGAGGGCGTATATAAGAGTAGTACCATCTTCTTATTCATTCATCAAATTTTTCCTTTCAAAACTTGGATTACTTCTTCAAAAATCATTTCTTTTTCTTAGTAAAACTTGAAGGTTTTGTGTAGGAATGTAAGAAGAAAAGATAAATTCATGTGATATTTTTTACAGATACAAGAGTTAAATTCAGTAAGTGAATGGAAGAGTAGTTGCTTGGAAGGATAGTGTAAAACGGGCTTCTCTCAGACCCCTTAATTGTGGCTTGTATGAGGCTTTTTGGCTATTTAAATGTGATATGCCTGCAGCAAAAAGTGTTTTTTATTTTTGAAACCGAATTATGCAACACCATGCATCTATATCAATTTTTAATTTAATGTTTTAATTACATTATATATGTAATACAGTGGAGCCTCAGATCATGAATGCCTCACTTCATTAGCAAATTCTCCATACAAAAAGGGCTCGGTTGACAGATTGTGTTTTGGGTTCCAAAAACTCAAGTTGGTAACAGATGGTTTTGAAAGGTGTTTTGAGATAACCTGTGTTACATAATTAATACTCAGGGACTTCTGAAAATTTTGTTTTAATGATAGTTTCCATTGCTTATTTATGAGTAATAAAAAAGGGTAGCAAGTGAATTCTACATGAAGAAACTTAAGGCCAGATTGGGTTGCAGATAGACTCTGACACATTTTTTGATATCTGAGCCATTCTCCCAATTTGGACACTTTCTTGAAACTCAAGAATATTAACTGTTCTAATATCCATGTAACACACTGTACTGTGTAGTTTTAGATATGTACCAATTAGTCCCCTAAAATTGAAAACTTATTTTAAATCGTTTTTGGAAGACAAAATTCCAAATATGTGAGAAAAATCAACTCTGTGGACTGCAACCAGCCCATAGTTTACTTAAATATGTTGACATATTATTAAAACTACATTAAATATTATTTTTAATTAAGTTAAATATATATTGAAAAATATTTCTATCTGTTGAAATTATAATAAATCTGGTAAATTTAGAAAGTTTTGTTCATCTAAAGTTTGCAATCAGGCTCAAACGTCACCTCCATGGACAGAGGGATTTAAAAAAAAAAAAAAAATTCACATGGCAACACTGCTCATTTCTTTCTATTGGTGTTGAAGAGAGGCAGCCGTTTTGTGTGCATCTCCATTCAGTACATATGTGAATAAAGTTTGTACACAAGGCAAAAAAAAAAAAAAAAAAAAAAAGAAAGTTTCAATTCTAGGTGAGTATGTATATTGGTTGTCAACTCCATGACTTCTATGAGATCTATAAAATGTGAACTGTTGTATGTGTTTTTAATCATGTTAGGTGTACACGCTGAAAAGACATTAAAAGCTTTTAACACCATTTTATATCATTTAGGCTTACACTGAAAATGTGATTTCATCATCTCCATGGGCATTTTGTGGATGGCTTTGCCCATGAAGTTGATACTGTGCCCATGGAATTGTTAGGTCTAGCTAAGAAGTTGGATTTCTTTTACAGTAATAAATATATTATGTCAAGTGTATATTTACTGGCATCCGCTTTCTAGGTTTTACATATAAATTAAGTTATATTGCAATTTTTTTGTCTGAAATTGTAAAACAACCGTTATATGATATTTAAGAAAGAAAAAGAAAAAAAAAAAAAAGATTTACATTCGTTGGTGGATTCCCCAATAATAACTTTAACTACTGTGACCCTTAAGATTTTCAACGTTGTTTCCACCCCTAAAAACAGAGAATGGTTCCTGTCCTTCTTTCTACCTTCCCAAACTCGTCCCACAAGGTCACATATCCAGTTTCACACTTCTAGCTTTATTATGGTTTCAGTTACCACATTTTCTACTTTTTGAGTGGTCTAGGAGATTGCTCACAGCAGATGCATACCAGTTTTAGTGGACGACAGACGTTATTTATTGGATGCTTGTTTTTCATACAACTTATAAATATGGCTTCATACTTTCACAAGAAAACATTCCGTATATCTCGCTCAAAAAGAAATTGAATATCTTCTCAACAATATTTTTTATGTAGAATACTCTGATTCTGAAGAATCATGAAGTATTCACAGCGAAAGCAAAAGTGAATCTGAGTTTTCAGCAGATGACTATCATAATCTTTCTAATGGCTGTGAATAAAATGCTAATTTTTGTGGAAAAAAGGCACTTCAAATGGTGCAAAAAAGAACCAAATCGGGCCGTATGAACGCAAAAGCATAACACTATAATTCAGCTCCTTGATCTGAAACTTCCTGCAAAAATAGGCTTTAGAGCAAAGCCCGAAGATACTTGGAATTTATGTTCATACGTATTGTTCCGGTCATATCCTGATGCTACAAAACTGAAAAGAAAAAGATTTATGCTTTTATTAGCTAATCAACTTATTAAACGCACATCTGAAAGTTGGGATAACTTCAGCTTTTTTGCTAGAACTGAGTAACCTAGAAATCCTTGGAATTCAGAGAGTGGATTTATCATCGAAAAAAATTAAAGAAAGAAAACTCCGTCTGTGCCTACCTGTAAGAAGAGAAAACGATACAATGCTGGATGCAGGAACTAGTGTGTCTCAGTGCTTTAAATATGTGTTTTGACGGTTACTTAGGATTCATCCTTGTAAACAAGATTACTAATCTTTATTTTTTAATATGATTCTTATTGTAGCATTCTGGTTTATTGACGTATGCTTATAAGTCACATTTTCATGCTTGTTTAATAAAATATTTTTTCTTAAATGAAAAAATAGTCCATTTTTTTATTAATTTAACTGCAAATTAATGATTTATTTTAAAGATATTGATTTAAATGAATTAGAATTCCATAAATATGCATCTAGTATCTATAACATTCCTTAATAAGGCATAAAAGTTTTTATTTTTACGCGTTTCTTTAAAGCGGTTTGTGAGCCGCTCACAGTAATTATGGCGAAAAAATTGTCACAGCAATTAAAGGTTAACAAAAAAGGAAAAAAAAATCTAGGTGCCAAACATAGACATAGACCTAAACTTGGTGACAATGATGTTTCAACCAATTAAAAGAAAAAAAAAAAAAAAAAGAGAGAGAGAGAGAGAAAGAAATCAGCTATGATAATGAACAGGGATATAGCTAGCAGTAGGCCTATTTGATTTTAAAGTTACATATCTAGTAGATAGTTGCTAACGCTATGAAAAGTTTATAAAAATTAAAGAGTTACATTACACAAATATGATAATAAAAAAACTTTTTTTTAAATTTTAGATATGGCTAAAACCAAGAAAGAATATGAAAGGTACAAATTAGCAAGACAGGAACAGAAAAGAGAATGGGAAATAAAAAGATGTGAATGTATTAAAAGTGACTCCTAAGTTATATGAAGAAGCAAAGAGAAAAGAATGCAAACGGTACCGTGCTCGAAAAGAAGCAGGCAAAATAAAATCTGTTTATGAAATGACATCAGTCTGAGAGCAAAGAGCTAAGCAAAAGAGTTGGAAAGCATGTTCAAAGAAATACTGTGCAGCCAAAAAGAAAAAACAGTTACTGACATTAAGTGTGTACAGCCCTCCTTCTGGTCCTGTATGACATGTAGTCCTAAATGAACCTACAAAATTTCAAGACAATTCATCATGTTCACAGTCACAATATGCAAGTTCTGAAATATATACAAGGACTACTCTTCTGGAAAATCTAGAAAAGAAAGCGATAGGGGGGGGGAAAGTAGGTCAGCCACTTACAGGAAAATAAAAAACTATAGGAAGAACTGTAAACATACAAAGCAAAATGTAGCAAGTATAAAAGAAGATATTGTAGGGAAAAGGGAAAGAAAAACAAAAGGAAAGATAATGCACCTCAATTTAAAAGTCAAGAAATTGCTAAAAGGTGTGAAGATATCTACTATAAAAAGGAGATTAGTTTTTAATGAAGCAGTGATTTCCCAAATGACTGATAATTTTCAGAAACTACAGAATAAGAAAGAATCTAGAAAATCTTTTCTCTGTTACATAGCTGGAAAAATTATAAAAAAGTATAAGTGCAATGAATGAATTAAAAAAAAATATTCAAATTGAAGTCTTAAAAGTAGAGATGTTAAAGCCAAGTTGGAGCTGACTAAACAAGATATTCAGGATTTTTTGGAAGATGATTCTTGCAATACATTATGTCCTGGTAAGCAAGATACAATAAGTAGAAAACGAGTGAAGAAACAAAAACGCTACTTGAATGTTAGTTTGCAAAACCTTCACAAAGCTTTCTCTAGTAAATGTATGCAATAATTCATACATTACAGTACATTTTGCAAACTTTGTCCGTTCTGGTGTGTCCAGAAAAAAGTAGGTAAGCGAGACACATGTTTATATAGCCTTCATGAAAACATAAAACTCATAGTTAGTGTGTTAAAGCAACTGAAGATTATTTCTGAGAGAACCCCAGATGAACTTTACAAAAGTTTGTGCTGTTATATTAAAGACAATGTTGAGAAATGTTTAGAGAGGAACTGTAATGAATGTTAAAACAAAAAAGATTAAGTTCTTAGAATATTCAGAAGAAGACACAGAGTCATATGAGAAATAGGTTTGAAAAAAGTTAATATTGTAGCCAAAGGAATTCCTAAAACAGTTAAAAAGCATTCTAAAATTCTTAACTGTTCTGCTGCAGAACTTGTTCATGCCTTGCAATCAGAAATGCCAAAATTCGTGGTTCATATTAGTAACATTTTACACCAGCGGAGAGAAGTGAAGAATATAAAAGACCGATTGAAACCCAAGGAAGTATTAATTCATGTGGATTTCGTTTGAAAACTTCGAGTGTAAATATTCAAGGGAAACCCTAGCATTTCATTTCGGTGGTTCACGCCAACAAGTAAGAATCCACTCAGTCATAGTTTACTACAGAAATTAATTGTTTACTGCAGTATGTATCAAGTCATTCTGTATCTTATCAGAAAATCTGAAAGATGATTGTATTGCTATTTGTACCCACATGAGTCCAGTGCTTAAAAATGTGAAAACCCTTGTCCTTAGTTTAAAAACTATTCATTTCCTCAGCGATGGACTAAGTACATAATATCGCAATTGAAAGATGTTTCATTTAATCGGCACACACTTTCCATCTGTCCTCTCATCTGTGAAGGAAATAACCTGGAATTACAGTGAAGAAGGACATGGAAAAGGTGCACCAGATAAGCTCTCGGGCAGGGGGATTTTGAAGCATACTGCTCCAGGGAGAAAGACATTTTATGCTTCAGTTAACTTGTCTCTGAATTACAGAAAAATATTAAAAGTATTGAAATAATACCCATAAAAGAATATGAATTCAGTACACTTCATGAAAGTCTAAAAGAAGAAGTAGAAAAATTTATAGGTCCAATTAAAGTGCACCCAGTTTTGTAGGGCCAGAGCAGAACCTAATGTTCTGTATTTCAGAAGATTAAGTTTTCAGTGTGTGCCAACTCATATTAGTTCACACAGATATGATAAAGGAGTCCTATTGGTATCTTTTGATCCACCTGGATGTTCCAACTTATATCAGCCTTAATCCTCATTTAAGAGACTGAAAGTCAGTGATGTCTACTCTGACACAGATGTTGAAATTCCTAGCAAAATTCCGAAAATGGATGAATTTGAAAATTCTGAAAATGAATGAAATTACCCTTGACAGAATATTTTAATAAATACATATGTGGTTGCAGAATTCATAGGCCGGAAAAAACTCATCACTTTGTAGGGACGATTTTTGAAGATGACTATCAACAGGGTAAAAGCAAAATGTATATAATAGTGACGTCATGCCTAAAAATGCAGACAATACCTTTTCATTTCAATTTCAGAGAGACTCAGCTTTTGTTTACTCTAAAGATATAAAAACAGGTGTTAAATGTCCCTGTGTTTACCCACTGACATACATATTTCTTTAAAGACGGATTTCAAATTTTTTCCTAATTTGAAGTAAACTGTTTAAAAAGTTTTTTTTTTCCTAATTAAATATCTATTCTGTGTTTAAACTGTACTGTAGTATTTATTTATTAAACTCTACACTGAATTTTAGTTAAGACATTAGGTTACACTGAAAGTGATGTTAAAAAATGCTTAGTTTCATATTTTAACTGTAAATTTCAACAATATTCTCTTGTGTTTCAGCTCAGTGTCCAGATACGTCAACTTCATGGGCAATGAAAACATAAATAATTTTTTCCTTGAAAAATATTTGTCAGTGATCTCGGCCATAGCCTGGAATGTATTAAGAACCATATAGAAATTATTTAAAAAATAAAAAAATTGACATCTAAAAGTACCCCATTTTTGAAAAATCCCCCATAAATGATATTGCATCTCTAGGCAAATCTATAGCTTAAAAAGTTAACAATAAATATATGAAAATGATACTAAAGGATGAAATAGGAAATGAAGGAGCTAACAATAAATATATGGAGATAATATATGAAAGAGCTACAATTATAGAAGCAGCAATAAAAGGTGATTCTAGAAGAAATGTATTCAGAAGAAGAGGGTCAAAAGGAAAATGACCCTAGTGATCTAAATTTTGAAATTTCTACAAAATAGCGTAAGATGTAAAGTTTTGGTATAAAGATTTCACCTTTGATAAAGCAGCAGCAAGCATAAGCATTTTCAATAACAATGCCATGTTTTATTATTAGAAACATTTTAAAACTTAAGTAACTAAGCACATTGGATAAATTTTGAGCGAGGCTCTGTGAATAACAAGCAGAGTCGAGTGGCTCAAAGAAAAAAGAATTTTTTTTTAAAAAGATGCTCTCAAAAGACAGTTACGTGATGTTTTTCTGGAATGAAACTTCTCATTCAAGCAATAGTAGTAAACAATACTGATATGCTAGTGGCCAGAGTTTGCAGAGTTAAATGTAGCACACACTGTAGGATGTGGGCAATTAACAGTTCTGGTTTCCCTTTTCATCAAATGCACATGCACAATCTAACCCAAACTAGCTTATTTAGTTTGTGATAACTTGTTTTTTTGCTGTGTTTTAATGCATTTTTAATGCTCAAGTATAAAAAAAAAATAATAAAATAAAAAAAAAAATACAAAATGATTATCACAAAGAAAACAGGCTAATTTTGGTTACATTGTGCTTGTGCATTTGATGACTGTGCTGCTATACTACATACAGTCTAATAAGTGTAAACAAGAGAATTCATTATGTAGGCAGTGGAATTAACAAAGAAGAACAGTTCCTTTGATAATAAATTTTTATATAATTTGAAAAGAAGATAGAAAATTCTTTTGTAATTAATAACAATTTATTTACAAAATTAAAAATTAAATCTAACTATTAAATATCAAAGATGTATTCGGCAGCAAATTTATTAATTTATTATTAATTTTTGAATATTCAAAAATAAAGTAATGAGCCCTTAGGTATTTCCTAATTTTGCTTATCTATAGTTGCGCCTCTGCTAACAGCTTAGGTTTAATGAGTAACAATGCCATTTTGTATACTTTTTATTATATTCTAATAACTTTTATAAACAAATCAAGATACATTTGTTTTAAATTCAATTTTGAAGCATGTATTTATGGAATTTTCTTACTACAGAAGAAATTATGGTTGATTTCTGAGTAAATGCATCATTTTGTAAGAAAATCACCAAAGGGAACAATAATTTTGAATCCATTCGTAGAGTCATCACCATGAAATTTCCACCAGAATGAAAGGGGGGGGGAACTGGATTGAATTCTGGTTTAAATACCAAACTAAAATGTAACATACATATGTAATAAATGAATTGTTGCTGTTATATACAAAAAATCTCCAAGCTGTGTCAGAATGTTTGTGCCAATTGTAAGTACCCTAAACGGTTCTGAAACAATGTAATACCATAATAAAGTAGCAAGCGTATAAATTTAAAATGAATTCTTATACAAGTTCGTTCATACTAAACTTTAGATAAAAATTAAGACTGATTCAAAAATAAATAAATTAAAAAAAAGCTTATTAAGTACAACTAAATGATGCATGATATTTTATCTTGAAAAATTAATATAAAACATTAAACAATAAACTTAGTAAGGAAGTCTTGATATTGAAATTTTACTTTTACATCCAAATAAAATACTTTGCATTTCAAAATTATATCTTCTGATAAATACTGTTTAATCTTGATGAATCCGAATCCAGAATATTTACATTCACACACGCTGACATTCTTTCTTAGTTTGTTGTTATTATTTTAAAAACCATTGTGTTCAATATTTAAAATTCTTTCTTCTGTAAAACAATCGCGGATGTAAGGTATAATGTATTAGTCATTCTACTGAAGTCCATCCTGAAATTTATTTGAATTTCAAGATACACTTCTTTACTTTATTCACTGTCACAGCTCTTCAAGCAGATGTAACAAGACTTTTGCTAAAACAGTTTTGAAGAAAAATTTTTGTAATTTGTTACCAGAATTTGTCAATGTTAATTTATTTGTTCTAATAAGAACATCAAGGTATTATCTATAAGAACTTACGTCCATATTTCTCAGTTATCAGTATATTTAAGAAGTTTTGTTTTAATGTAATGTAAAAAATAAAATTTGATTTACAAAAAATATACAGAATAAATATTAGAAATGCTGATAATGGAAATACTTGCCTTCTCTAAACATAATGCAGATACAATACATTTCTTGGTACTTGTGTATAAACGCAACCACCTTAGGAAAAGTCACTAAATTTTCAAAATGTGCCAAATTCTGGAAACCATGCTTATAAGAATAGCTTCAGTCAAGCAGCATCACCATTTCCGTATGCATTGTTTGTTGTTGCATTTCAAATTCAAACGATTATACAAATCATGATTTTTACCCATTAAATTTAGTTTTTAAATATGAACTTGTGGAATTTGCAATCAATGGAAGAAACTGCAGTAAAATTTCTGCTGGAATACAGAATTTTCTGAAGGGAACAATGAGAAAATGCCTTTCCTATTGTATGAAGCTGAGTCTCCACAGTTGGCTAATATATTTTTAATTGAAAACTGATTGATGTGTACTTAGAACAACACAAAAAAATTGCACAAAGATTTGAAGAAAAATGTGAGTGTTTTATATTTTTAATGTATCACATAATCCTTATGTAATAATGCAGATTTGTATTTTAAATTGCTAAAGTATGTTTTCTTTTCATATGTTGATAATGTTTAGTGACTTACAAGAAATATCGATAGTTTTGGAATTTTTCTAAAAAAGGCATGAAAACTATCAACTTGTACCTGATAAGTAGCTTTTACCTTTTCATGTGTAAAAAATCACTAAATTGCTCTAAGGTAGTTGCATTATTATTTAAGTATGCATTTTTTATAATTACTATTTTCAACAAAAGGCTTGAAAAATATAAAAGTATATCTTAGGTATAAATATTGTGTTATAAACACATTTTGTATTAATCATTTAAATCTTTTTGTTGTAATTAATTAAAAATGAATCCTGAACTATCCATTTATCAAATTTTCATTATATATTTCAGGCTTTAGATGCTAATTTTGGCATGTATGTATGGCCATGTGCCCCAGTCCTTGGTAAATACATTTGGTACAATCGAACTAAATTGAAGAATAAGGTAGTTTTGGAGGTAATTTAAATAATCTTTTCATAATTAATTACTTCTGGTTTGTTTCTAAAATTAAATATCTGGTTGTAACAAAAGTTTGCCGCCAAAAAGTGTTCTTAACCCCTGCAAATACTATCATTTGCTTTGCGCTGCTACCAGTAAAATTATTCGCAAAGCTTTGGAGTGCAACACCACGATGACCTTGACAGAGTAAGCGAGGGAGAGGGGGGAAGTTGGAGAGGGGAATGTTTCTGAAATGGTGAAAGTAATGACTGTGTGGTTATTGCTTGTGTTTCTGTTTGAATAAAATGTATTTTTTTCACTGTTTGCAGTAGGTGCCTGGAATAAAAAAAGATATATAATGAATGTTTGAAACCCACTTATCTTTTTTGAATTATTTTTTTTGATGAACTGCTCGTGCTTAATATTGTTACTGAAACTAACCATTTTGCAGACCAGCATATGAACCAACATCCTGCAAAAGAAAAATCAGGAACAAAATTGGAGCATCCAATCAATTCAGAAGAAATATATGTTTTTTTAGGTATATTGATTTTACCAAGGTATAACACTGAAACCTGATACTATTACACTTTACTGGTCTAAAAATTAATTGATCAAAACTCCATTTTGGGAGATCTTTTTTATTATACTTGTGTCTTTTTTATTAACACTAAACATTAAAATTTGTAGTTGTTTTTTTTCCTTTATTCTTTATTTTGTAAGAGTAAACAGTTTTTTAGACAGCAAAACTTGCACTTATTTTCCCCCTAATACATCGCATAACTACGTGCACCTGTGTAAGAAATAGTGGCCCTGGGGAGGGAATCTTGTACATATTCCACAGCAGTAAGGGGTTAATAAAGTTAAAAAAAGAACAAACATGAAAGCAGTACATTTAGTGCAGGTAATAATCACGATTTTCCATGGATGTTTCGGTAGTTTTTCAAAGCCTTCGGCCCAGAAACTTGGTGGTCGCGTGTCCAAAAACAGATGAACCTCAGTTTAGACATCCTGTGCAGAATGGAGGCTAACACCAGCAAGATGTAGCTGCAGGTGTGCAAAAAGATAGAAATCTGAAAGAGCGATGTCAGGGCTATATGGTGAGTGTGGCAAAAGATCCCATTCGAGTCCGTATAGAGTCCAACCAGTGAATGCAGACACACAAGGTCTTGCATTATCTGTATGGAACATTTTTGCGCCGGAACTCATTTCGACATTTTTCCTTGATAGCAGCGTCAACACAGACTAGTATCTCACTGTACATTTTACTTTCAAGGGCTTTACCTTTTTCCAGATACTCTGTGTAGAGAATACCACAGCAATCCCACAACATATAAAGCATAATTGTTTTGTTAGTCAAATTGCAATTTGTGGCATTGCCGATGATCTCACCGGGTGCAGACCAACCCCCTTTTTGGCCTGCGTTGTTGAAGTAAAGGCACTTTTCATCACAAGTGATGATTTGGCTCAGAATTCTGTCCTTGCATTGATATTCGAGCATATTAGTGCAGGTGTGAATACATCTGGCCTTCTCTGCTTGAAGTCTGCTTATGCGGCTACCAGCAATTGAGCTTGTACATCAAGTTTATGCTATGCATAACACGACTAATGAACATGGCACTGACATCTAATTCCTTAGCAAGTTCTTGAGTGGTTGCAAACTGATCTTCCATGAGTTCTTGCAGGTGGACCTCATCAACATTAGTAGGCGGGCCAGAGCATTTTGCTTCCTGAATGTCATAGTCCTTGGTTTTGAACTTTCGATACCAAACCTCCCCAGTGTCATATGATACAACATTAGTACATAAAGCTGTAGACAGGATTTTTTGACAATCTGTAGAAGACGTTTCACAACTTTAACAGGAAATACAGGGGTTGGACAAAAATATGGAAACACCTTTAAAAACATGTTTTGCTTAATGGTTCTAAAACCCGTTGGCAACCAAAACAGCTTACATTCTTCTCGGAATGGTAAATACAGTTCCTTAGGTTTCCAGGGAATATATACCATTCTTCCGTGCAAAACGTGGCAAGTTAATATACGATTTGGGTGGATAACGAGAACGCCTTTCCGTTCAATTAGACCACAAAGTTCATAATTCGGTCTGGTGACTGGGTGCCAGGGAGCTGGAAACTCACCTCGTTCCAGAAAACATTCCTGGACATGTGAGCCTTGTGAACAGGGCTGTGTCGTCTTGGAAGACACATTACCATCGGGAACAAAGTTTGTACATGGGATGAACTTGATCGGCCAAATGTTCACATAAGTCTGGAAGTCATGGCCTTGACCCGTTTCATGGGGCTAGCAAGACCCGATTATGGATGCCCAACCATAACGACCCCCGCCATTTCCCTCTGGCAACAATCAGTCGTATTAAGGCTGAGATGGCGTCTCGAGACGTAAACTCGCCAGAATTGGGAACAAGTGAAGAGACTCGTCAGACCATATTACTCGCTTCCACTGCTCTAAGCCAGGCTTTATGACTTAACACCACCTTTCCGGTTACGGGCTTAGCATCACGGATTGGCTCCGTGCAGCACAGCCACAATTCCTGTTATGAAGCTCCCTTCGAATGTTTGGTACTCACAGGGTCGGTAACCAACTTCATTTCGCAGTAACTTTTTCAAGCTGTGTATCTTAATTTGTCACAATGCCCTTATGATCGCTGTCACGATGACTCAGACACACTTCGTCCTCCCTGTATTTAGCAGTGATGTTTTTCCCTTTTCAAATATGCGGATAATCTTGCTCCGTACCTCTTGAACACTAACACCTCTGCTACCTGCTTAACGGAAGCACCTACCCTATGTGCTCCAACACTTTGGCCCACGTCGAATCTGTTAACGATGAATAATGCATGACAACCTCACATAACAGCACTCCGACAACAATGAACTGTTTAGCACATTACGAAGTTGTTATCGTGCTCATTAGTCAAACCGCCAGCGCCACCTACATATTTCCATTAAAATCAATCTTTCTTTTCAAACATGCATTTCACAAGGTGTTTCCATATTTTTGTCCATCCACTGTAAATGATGGTTCTAATCTGGTAGCATGATAGTTCCATTTCGGACACTTTGTACTTGATAATAATAATTTTTTTTTTACGTATTTCACAACACAGTGCTCTAAATCAAGTCTCTTTCTTTGAAATGCCAAATATCCTTTGACAAAATATGATTAAACACATCATCGCAAACTGTTTGCATTGGCGGAAAACTTTCGTTAAAACTCGATATGTTTTTGTACAAATACATTTTAGGTATAAAATTTTTAAAGAATGGTACTCTCTGATTATCAACCTATCTTTGATAAAAATAGCTGGACAAAGTGCTATGTCACCAAAGTAAGCAACCCAGAATTTTATGAAAGTGTATGGAACTGTCCTGAGTAATACTGGCTAAATAAATTGTGTTCTGATTTTTCATCATTTTGTCATCAGTCACTCCAAATCCACAAACCCATAGAATGCAGCAACTGGTGTTTGAAGTGAGATTTGCGAGTGAACACCAGGAATGCCAGCGAACCACTTGCAGGAAAATGCCATGGCGGAGGAAGGTAAGCTAACGAACTTCTTAGCAGCTGTAAATGTTGGACTGGAAGACATGAAGGCTGAGATGAAAGGGAAACAATAAGAGATGAGAGCCAGATATGAAGGTTGGACAAGAAGATTTATTGATCACAATAAAATCCTGTCGAGAAGAAATAAAAGCCGGGCATGAAAAGTTGCTAGAGCAACTCCAGCTGATGAAAGTGGAGCTTAACTGCTTAAGGACGAGTGTGCGGAGAACAAATTGCAGGCACTGGACCGACCCCCCTTTGAAATGAAACGCTGCCACCGGCCTATGCATATTTCAGTAGTTAAGCCTACTTTCACAAAAAAAAAATACATATAAAATCAGCATTTTAATATAATGATCTCAATTTTTGAAGTTACATACATAATATACTAATTATTAATATGTATTAATATAAAGAATATCACATTAATAAAAATAAATGAAACATGCAAAATAATAAAATTATAAGTATAAGCATGAAAGCAAATACTATACACATGAAAACAAAATTACAAATACAAAATGTAAAAGAAAATTGAGCAATAATTATCTGTAGGTAATTAAATTCCAATTTAATAATTTTGCTACATGGGGAATAGTTCAAACCGAGAATCGACACGCAGGACAGTGGCAGTTTTTTCATCGAGAAAGTAAGATGCACCACACATAAAAAAAGCTAATACCTTTCCTCTTCTATAATAATGCTGTAAAGTTACTTTTTAATTAACCAAGAAATTCTATGTTAAGATTTAAAATAAATATAAAAAAAGGACAACTGGTAGGAGTTCTTCCATCAGGGAAGTTCAGTGTTGTTATACCCACTGTACTCAGCTAGATGTGTTTTCTCCCATTCTTCTAACAAAAAGGAAAAGACAACATGACTGGATGCTTTCCTACATTCTAATAACTAAAAATGTAAGAATAAAAATGAAGAAACAACAAAAAAACAAATCCTAACAATAAACACCTGGTATCCCGGCACTTAAAGATCTGTGTTCCTGATTTGTTTACACCAATAAATTCAACAGAAGCATAAACAGAAACTGATGCGTGTACATGAAGATAAAAGTCACATGAGTGAGTACTGATTTTTAAAATGTTACCATTTAGCATGTTACTGCATTAAAATTCAAGAAACCATTCGTTCTAAGTTACGTATATGCGACGCGGGCTTAGATTTATAGGAGCGCTTCGCAATAGCGAGGCTGGACGGCATAAGAGTGAATCAGTAGTTGCGTAACACATGCTGGTCCTAACCAGGTTAAAGAAGAAATTGGATCAAAATTAGAAGATGTCAAAATGAGAGTAGTGGCATCTGTAGGATTCAATAATGAAAATGAGGAGCGCTGGTGAAGTGTCTGAGAAAGATCAAGAAATGATGGATGAAAAATCTAATGGGATTAAGGAAAAAGAACGAAAACATGAAGAAATAAAAGGAAAGAAGCTTTTGATTCTCAAGTGAAAGTGGGAAAAAGTGAAAACGAGACTGTTAAATTGGTAAAAACTGATTGTGGAGTTACGAAGTTGCAGTCAGCAAGTACTGAATCATCTGAAAATGCATGTGGTGCAGAGCTGAGAGAAACTGATGTACAGCTTAAGCAGAGTGTTCCAGTATGGAAAGAAAATACACCGACTTCGTAAACTGTGTCTCTCATAATACAAGTTGTAAAGACGCATATTTAATTCTAAACCAAGATACTTCTGTTCGTAAAGAATCAAATTCCATTCAAACTCTAATGCAAAATTTGGAGCTGGTTCCCAGGAAGCAGACTAAAATGTACCAAGGAAGTACCAATCGCTAAAAATACGGAGGTTAACTGTACACGTGATGCGAATAAATTGCAGAGTGGTGAACAAACTGTTTCAGATCTTCCTAAGGATGAGAAGTCTGAAAAGATGTATCTTCAGACTGTCATATGCAAAACAGAAATACATCTGAGATTTGCAGTGAAAAAGTATTTTACCCGCGTATAACTTAATGAAAAGGAGACCAAAATTCATTCTGAGCTTTAATTTATGTAATTGAAATTTGTTATGTGGTTAATTTGTATATGACTTATAAATAGTGTAAATATTTGTGTTTTATGTAATTTTCTGTGCATTGCCATTTTTTTAAAAATGGTTACTGTTTTTCACATACAAGGTTGAGTTAAAATTAGTCACTTGGCAACTTTTCAGAAGGGTTGAACGTATAATCAGAGAGTACCTAAAAAAGTAATTTATGAGCATTTTAATTTAAAACATTTGAATAGTTAGAAAATAATTATGTAATAGTATATTTTGAATTTAATAAAGATACATATTCTTTTAAATATTTTAGCTTGGTGCTGGTACAGGTTTAGCTTCCGTTGTAGCTGCCAAATGTTGTGCTCATGTGATTATTACAGATGCAGATAAGTACGATTCTGTGTTTCAAATTGCAAAACAGAATATGATATTGAATGATATAAATCAAGAAAGCTTTGAAATCATGAGCCTGGACTGGGGAAATTTTTCTCCAACCATAATAAATTTCAGTTCGATAGATATTATTATTGGATCTGATGTATTTTATGATCCTCATGGTAAGAAACTTTAATATGATTTTCAAAGTTACTTTTTAAATGATTAATGTGACATTTATAATGGTAATTAATTATTTCATTATTTGATGGTTTTTAAAATTGGTCTGTTCCAGTGTTTCAAAATTTTATTAAAGCTATATTTTGCCACTCTTGGCAAATGAATATGTGATTTGGTTTGTTTCTTAAATAGATTTTGAAGATCTTCTTGTAACTGTTTCTTATATTCTGAAGCAAAATCCTGATGCCGAATTTTGGTGTGCATATGAACATAGATGGTAAGATTACTGAATACAAGATAAACATGATAAATATAAATATAGTTGTATAGTGTAATATAATGTTACTGTATAGTATAATATCACCATATATTATTACATATGTTTATATTGTTTTGTATGAAAATAAACTTTAATCATTGACTCATCGTTTGAAATGATTTACAGTTCATTGTTTACTAAGTATTTAAAAATAAATTATTTATCAGATCATTAACATATTTTATTTACCAGTGTGCTGAATTATTTTATATCTCATCTAGTGTTTTCAACATTATGCTATAATTTTAAATTTAGAAAATTTTTGCTTACAAAAATAAATTTATTGATTTATCCCATGTCTTATTTTGTGAAAATTGAGTTATGACTTTAATATAATAATTTATTTACATCTACCTTTGAGAATGTGAATCTATGTTTTTAGCATAGTGTAGAATGCCTAAAAGGAACTTAGAAGATTTATAAGCAGTAAAAAGTGTATATTTATTAGTTTAACATATTGCTGGCAATGGAATATGCAGTTTAAAATTAACAAGCATTTTATGACATCATGTAATTTAAACATGTGTTGTAATGCTTTTCGAAACTAAGTAACACATTTTATATTTGTTGCAGTATGTATATGTCGTCTATAATTATTGATTAAGGTGACATACCCAGTGGGATCCACCAAAGGGAGGGTGCCCTGTGGAGGACTTTTTAAGGAAAACAGGCTTGTTTCCACATTACATATGGAGAAAACCATGAAAATTTCCATGCAGCCAACCACTTTGCCTGATTTATTTGCCGGATTTATTGAAAAGGCATAGAAGCAATATTCTCTGCATGTGCAAGATTGATAAGGCAGTTCAAAAACCAGGTTCAGCTCTGTAGTTTTGTTGGTCCTTAAAATTAGTAATATTATCAAATTTGTACCCTCTTGATTATGTGCTGTTGATTATTTAATCCTTGGGTACATTATATTGCATACCAGTGTCATTCCTATACCATGTCTGTGCTGACCCGGATGGCCCTACACAATATCACTCATATGCCTGTGGTAACTCTGTGAAGGTGACAAGCGTACATTAGTCTTCTTACTCATTTTATGTTATGAAAATTTCTACCTGTATTTGATAATGTTGATCACATGCAGATATCAATCTTACGATTATTTCTTTGTCATGTTGATTTTATGCTGTGTTGGTCTCATGCAGTATCAATTTTATGTGTTGTCCATTCTATACAGCATTGGTCCTATAAATGTAATGCCACCATCGGCCGAGTGGTAAAGTCGCTGAACACTGGTAGTTCGGTCCAAGGTTCGAATCCTGGCAAACGGGCTGACTGCATGGGTGTTTTCGTGATTTTCCCCATGTGTAATGTGTATATGAGCCAGTTTCCCTTAGAAAGTCCTCCACGAAGGCATCCCTCTCCTTAGGCAGATAGCCCTCGAGGCTTTGCCGTAATGAAATAACTTAATCTAACCTATGAATGTAATCCATTTTGGAAAGAATAATACTGGTATATTGTACATTTTTCTATCCTGTAGTTAGAATAACAATCCTAATTTTGTTTTTATTTCATGATTGCTTTAAAATATTCTAAAAGGTTGGTCAGTTACAACTTATAATTAAAGTCTTGTCAATGGTGCTACTAAATTTTAAGGTGTTATGTAGATAAAATTGCTTTAGCTTTGAAGAAGCAAAACTAAACACCACGAAGGCATGCTAAGAAGGTGAAAGAAATAACGTATATACTCCCCCTTTTAAAGGGCGACTGGGAATTAGGGGACCCAATCGCCAAATCCCAGTGGTGGCGAATCATTATCCACCACCTTTTTTTGTTCGGGCATCACTGTAGAAACATTAGCTTTTTTCAAAGCAGGACATGCGAAAAAGGAGCAATGCCCTCGCTGGGACTTGAACATCTCAAATGTGTGCTGAGTGTGCCATTACACCATTACACCACGGAGGCATACGAAGAAGGTGGGAGAAATACCTTATAAGTTTGTTGACGGAAAGATTATTTAAGTCATCAGATATTCCAAAAAGCATCAGGGATGGGGAGTTTACTGACCTTGTGCTAGGACTGAATACAAGTATATGAGTTTCTTTTTATTCTTTGTTTACTCCACTCGAGTTTCATTTGTCTCCGTTTAGCTAAAATTTTAATTTCAGCGCTTCACCCTTTCCCAGGAGAAAGAATCAGCGATTTTAAAATTGTTCTCTGATGTCAAGCACAATTGTAGGGGTTAAATGTAGCATGCTAGCCCCAAAAGACACCTGTTGCTTCGTGTTTTCCAAAACCCTAGAATGCAACGAAAATGAGAAGAGGTGATTGATAACCAATTTATCATTCCGAGAAAGCTCATTTAAAAGTATTGGGAAATGGAAATGCACTTTAGGTCCATCACTTAGTGTAATAATAATAATAATAATAAAAACTTCCGATTTGAAAGCATGCCTTTATTCTTTAGGGTATCGTCTTTGTTAATTTCACGTGAAAGATAAGGGAACACAAGAGGAATTTTTCCTCTGGGTTTAGGATTCAAATAGATTGTTTTCGAAATAAATTTTATCAGTTGGTGAAAAGAGGGAAAATATTTCTAAGGCCCGCTTTAGATGCAAACTAAAATTCATCCAAAAGTTGAAAAGGGGTCCTTCGAATGTCAAAGATGTTGAAAATCGAAATAAGAGCTTTAAGGTGTATCAAATAATAAAATCGTTTAATGAATGAATGATCATTTAATGAATTAACGTTTCTTCCTGAACAAAAAGATATATTACAACCTATATTTACAAAAAAAAAAAAAAAAAAAAAAAAAAAAAGGGGGCCGTTATGGTCCTGGATAATCTAAAGTGTGTGTGTGGGGAGGGAGGTGTTTTTGGTATCATAGCATAAAGCATGGTCTTTTTTATGTATTATCTAAAGCATAAAATATAATAACTTCAAAAAAGCAACATACTTTCTCAGCTGAGTCGTAGTGTTTCATTTTTAAATTTTTTTTTATTTTTCAGTTGATTTACATCTCCTTGTAACATTATACTAGTTCAGTTACAGCATGATACGGTTAATGCATGCAGTATTATATTTGCTAAATTTTGTCATAAAATAATAATATTGAATTTAAATCAAGTTCAAAAGCATTTTACGAATATTTTACATAAGTATGTTCAGCTGGGTTGCATCATCAAAAGTGCATAAACACAAATTTTATTTTTAAAACTTTAAATCTCTAGCAAATTTTTAACATAACTATATTCAAGCACCCATCTCTACAGAGGCACGTCAAAAGTACACAAAATTAATTTCAAAAACAAAGATTAACAATTAGCAGCTACCTGAAAAAAATGTCTTAGAGGGGCACTGATATAAAACATATACTGGCTCTCAAAATTCAGGATTTCCATCTAGGTATTTTTTAAGTCTCAATTTTGTGTTCTTAGGGTCCATAAGTTACAAATTATGCAAAATTCTACCACATTTTAAATTATTTTATATACTGTGTCTCAAAAGGTTACTATCAAATTTTGTTTTGTAAATTCCCAATGGTAAATAAATTCAAAAGTTGTCATATTACTACAGCAACAGTCTGTTGTTTCTCGGCCAACAAAGAGCCGTCTGAATAAGCATAAAGCCGTGCATCCAAGGAAATCGGTAATAGATAGTTTAAATATCAATAGCTTATTTTTTATCCAAAGACTTATAATTTTTTTTCACCTTCACTTAGCCTGCAATTTTGCATCAAATTGTAAGAGCTGTAATATTTGTAGATCTAAAAATGGAGAAAACAGCAGCATACTGTTTATTGTGTTATAATCAGACACAGATCTCTCAAAGATTAAATGAATTATTTTTTTTAAAATTCTGATTTGCATTAAATTATATTATTTGTGTATGGCAAATCCCAGGAGGGCTATCTGCTTAAGGGAAGAGAGGTGGAATGGGCTGCTTAATGTAGCTTCTTGGTGGACTTTTTAAGGGAAATTGTTTCATATTCATGTAATTTTTGGGAAAAGCCATGGAAATCAACCATGCAGCCAGCCTGTTTGTGCTAAATCTGATTCAAAATCCTGTATTCATTGGTCCTAATGACTTGGCCACTGCCAGGTCTCTGATTTACGTTAGGAGTCATTGTGCAATCAGTAAAGGATAAAAATATTTCTATGAATGATTTGTCATAAGTTTAGCCAATAATTATATAGTCAGGGCAGAAATAGCATTAATAGTTGCTGTGATGGTAGGAAAACATGATTTTGAGAGGTCTTGTCATAATGAAGTATGATGCTGGATGCAGAAACTATAATTTTGTTATATTAATTCAGAGCTTGCTGAATATAAGTTTTGTAAGCAGAAATTTAAAGTTTTTTTTGGTTTTGTTTTATATCCATTGAAGCATTTAAGAATATGAACACTTTGTTTCAGCTTTTGTCACCACCTTTATTCTATATGACTATTTCAGTTACATAAATAAGTGGCTATCAAATACATGATCTATATGTGTGTGAATTGTTTAAAAGTTGTATAATTGTAGAAACCTGTATAAAGTTCACTCTGAAAACTGCTGGGAAGCAAAAATAAAAACTGATTGATGATTTTATCCACATTGCCCATCATATTGTTATTCTATTAGTAAGGTCTAATTTTTCAAGATACATTTAAATCGTACATAGGCTATACTGATTTTTTTTATTACTCTATGAAATAGGATCATCTGCAAACAAAACTAAATCTATCCATACATCTGGATTTATAGAATGCAAGAGATAAGTTATTAAAATATTGAATAAAATTGAACTTTTTTGTGGTATTGCAAGATCTGTTCCCTTGCATTTTGAAATACTGTGGAAAACCGTATATATTTACATACTAACTACTAAATCAAAAATACATTCTTATTTTAAAACATTTTTATCATCAGTTTATCTTTGTTTTTCTAATTTGGTTTCTAGTTGCTTGACTGTAGCAATTGCCAATTGCTCAATCAATATTAACTTTGACTTGCTAAATGCACAGCTAGTCTAGCAAATCTGACTCAACAAATATTACTTAAAGTGTATATTTTAAAAATCAAAACTACTTTAAGAACTTTTATGTAGGCAACGTCTCTATTATACCAGTAATTTTGGGGCTGGAAATGGTTTTTAAGAACTGATTTCAACCAGAGTTTTAGAGTTTTACTTGTATTATACTTATATAAGTCAAGGATCTGCATTCTTATCCAAGCCATGTATCATTTAAAATGCTTCAAGGATTTCTTTCTTGGAAAGAAAATGTATAACACTGTGTTTAATGTTTATCTAATGTTCATTTTTAACAGTCTTCTATTACTGTACTAAAGACTTAGAAATATGTATCTCTGATTAAATTCCATGCAGTAAATTATAGATGTGTATGCAATGCTTAAATTGCGCTGGAGCTCACCAGAGCCTGGCTCTGGTACTTCTCAATTTTTAAGATAAATTACAATTCTAGTTGGAGCGCACTGGAGCCCTAAATAAGATGAGCTCTGGTACTTCTTTTTATAAAACTGAACCAAAAGGGAAAAAAATTTAGAATTCCTAATGTTTTAGTTTAACAATAAGCAGACCTTGCAGTACTCTATTTTACTAGAAATACGAACTCATGAGAACGTAAAAAGTTGAAGTAAAGTCCCCTCACTCACATGCGGAAACCTTTCCCTTTAAGAAGGGTGATAAATTTGGGGGAGTCTGTTTAGGAATGCGTAAATATCTCGCCAATGCCATCGTATCTAGTGTATTCTCATCGACGCTTAAAGTTAGTTATCTTCACAGAAAGAAAAATTTGTGAATAAATTATATTAAAAATCGTGTATTTAATTTCAATTTATCTCTTTATAGTTTATTTAATTTTAATTATTTAATTACTTCAATATAATTATTTCAATAAATAATAATTAATTATCTAATAATTATCAATTAATTATATAATAATATTGACTGAATAACAATTTATAAACATTAATTAAATAGCTATTAATTAATTTGATAATAATTAACTATTTAACTTAAAAATTATTAATGAGTGTAATAGTCATTTTATTTATTTATTTACTCTTGTTTCTCTTTGCTGACGGTCTTCCATAGGGCACCGGGACTTCTAATCTTAGAAATTAAGCTCTGTGTGTGTGTTTAATTTTGAATTTTTATGCTATTTTCATAATATCTTTTTAATATTAACATCTTCATGTAAAATTACCTGTTTATTTTAGCTCTGACTGGAACATAAAATATTTGTTGCAAAAGTGGGATTTGTTATGTAAAGAAGTGCCACTGGAAAATTTTGGAGCTGATAAATTTAATGTTGCTGGATCCGATTTGCCCGGTCTGAAGACAATAAGGTTGTTCATATTTTCTCATTCTACAGTAAATAAAGAATAAAACTGTATTTTCACGCTTCTGTGTTGTTTTATAAATTTGTTGTTTACCAAACACTTAACACTCTGGAAATTATGTTAGGGAATATTATTGGCATTTTAGAAGGTTTGTTCCAAAAATTCGCTGACTGGCAGTTTTTTTTTTTTTAAGACAAATTTTTATTTGGCAGAAATGGTGACATTACCTTTATTCATGATGTTAAAAATTAATGCTTTGAAGGTTTTTAAAAGTGGATTTGAGTAAAGTGAAAAATATCGAACATTAATAAATTAATATAGTTTTGCCGAAACTAAAATTTTCAGAATGAAAAAAATTAGAATCTTAGTTCTCCCTCCCCATTAAAAAATTGTTAAAAAGCAAATCAGTCACAACTGAAGTGATACTGAAACGAAAATAATCATTGAAGGAGGACAGAGGAATGTTGTATGATGTATTTAAGGATAAATTGGGTTCACCTTTTTTTATAGTAATAGTGTCATCAAATGAACACTAACATATAAGAGCTTGAGAGAAGTTTTAAAGTTCGAAAATATAGGTGAGAGCACAGAGAGTAAATAATAGTTGGCAAATGTTGTAAACAATCGGCAAAATTCTGCTTCAACCTGTTGTTAACAATTTTTCAATTAATTAATTGAAAAGAATATATTCCCCCATTCTGAATTTAAAAAGAAATTTATTCATCAGTAGTGGTAAAGGTTTTTATTTTAATTAATTAAGTAATTATTTTGCTTATATTTAAGCGGGCAGAAGTGTAATCTTATTGCTAAATGCGAAGGGGTTATTCTTACTTAATAAGAGCAAAGGTGTGAGAAATAAGGTGTTAAAAAGGGTAAAATGAAAAGTGAAAAATTCATTTTGTGTCTATTTATATCTTTAGATGCTGAAATGTAACTTTAAAACGATTTATGGCTCCATATATTTAATACAATTTTTAAAAAAGAAAGTCTGTTCTTTTGGTGGTGATTGGAAAAATTTGAATAAAATGTGTAAAAGAACATTTTTCTGAAGTGCAAAAAGCACGGTCTTATCTTCATTCATATAAGTTTCGAAATCTTTCAAAAGTTTTCATATTTTTGAACTGATAAAGTAGCGAAAGAAGGAAACTTATTTTCAGTGAAAATTCAGATTAAGTGATAGTCTGTCTTGGAAAACGCTTGTTGGGGTCGGTCTTTTTGGGATAGCCGGTAGAGGATAGCTCCACATCATGGACAATCAACCGATATGCCTAAATGGTGGTACGGTTGTCTATGTTGTGTTTCCCCTTACCCTGCTGGTTTCACAATGATTTATCCACTTTGCATAAATACTACCAACGGCAGGTTGTGAACAACCTACCATTCGCCCAGTTTCGGAGATACTCGTTCCGAGTCTTCAAACCATTACAATCTATCCACTATCAGATTCGCTTAGATCAGCAGCCTTTCCCATCACTTGCAAAAGTTAGGCGCAAAAAAAATTCTATAGGTGACATGAAATGACCACCGGATGGCGAAGTGGTTAGTGCGTTGCGCTGCTGCACCACAGGTCCGGAATTCGATCTCCCGGCTGGGCAAGGTTGACTCAGCCTTTGATTCCTTGAGTAGATCAATAAAATAAGTATCAAGTTCGCTTGAGGAATAAACACCGGGGGTCCTTCAACAAGCTGAACACTTGCCCAGGGCATTTGCTGATGTACCCCGGGGCCCAGGGTCAAAAAAGCAGATTTCGGTTCACTACAGGCCGTGGCCCACTAGGGCTGTTGCACCACTGAGTTTAGTTTTTAGCTAGTTCACTCGCTAGCTGTGTTCCGACTCGTTTGAAGTAATTGTGCCTTACTGGCATTGAAAGTAAAACAATCATGAAATAAAATTACATGAGAACATCATACGTTAGAATATAAAAGTTTAAATTTCAAGTCCGTCAAACATGTCCACAAGAGCTTTTGCTTTCCTTCTTGCGGGTTCAACTTTTTAAATTGAGCAGCAAAATTAAGAAATTTGCTGATGAGTCCTGCAAATTTTATAAGAATGGTTGCAATAAAAGTCACAGGAATGGCTTCGCTTACTGGGATTGGAGCAAGCATTTTTAACAGTTTCTTTAGCTCGTTCTGGAAATGGCTTAACTTCTGCAGATTTTGTGCGTAATTTAGGATAAAATTCGCAATTCCTTGGTCTGGCAACGTGACTTTGTTTACAATGAACACAAGTTGGTTTTTTCCTCTCTTGGGATATCCTAAGTGTATGTCGAATGATTTTTCCCGCACTTCAAACATTTAGGCTAGTTGTTAAAAAATAATTGTCTATGGCTAAACGTTTGGCAATGGAAGCACATCACAGAGCTGCGATTTATTCTTGTATTTTCGAATTTTATCCTTCTTCTTATTGTTGGCTTTCTTTTGTATTTAAATTAATCACTCATAAAACGATTGTAAAAGACAAACATTTATTCAGACATAGTTAAATTGGACTCGTTACTGAATAACCTCAGTAGATAGAAAATGGGGGTTCACCCACACGCGGTGTGGGCGTGGCCAATGACGTCACACAGAGGGCGGGGCCAAAGGCAACGTCATCACACTAGGAGGCGTGGTTTCGAGTGGAGTTGAGGTGTTGGTAGATTGCTGATTGAGTTGTAGACCTCCTGCTTTTCATTTAAAGTTAGTTTTTTTTAATTGGCAACGGGGTCATGGCGTCCTCTAGGGATGAAAAATGAAAATAATCTATTTAGGAATTGCTCATGGCGTCCTCTAGGGACGAAAAAAGAAAATAATTTATTTTAGAAATTTCTTTTTTTAAATGTTCTATGATTCAAAATATAGAATTGAACTCTCAAACAAAATATCTCACCAGCTCAGTAGTTTGAAGATTTTAACCATTAAGCTGACGAGATACATTTAGATTTAGGTAAAAAAAGCCTATATAAGAAAATGGAATTTGAATCAGCTCATCAATTGCAATTATGCCTGCCCCAGGAGAAGCCACCGTTGCGCGGTGTGTTTATACACTGTTTTATGTGTTATTTTATCATCCATCTATATTTTTACAGAATTTCATAAAATTCCTATTGATTTTACGCTACGTCTTAACGACAGTGGGAACTTATCATTATCCATATGAAGAATAATTCAATAGGTTATGAATATGAATTTATCGTATCAGGATCCGGCTCATGTTGCAAGTTTTGGTGGTGTTGAAGCTTTACATCGTGCTGCAGGAGGTAAAGTTTCCAGGAAAGAGATTCAAACATGGTTAGAGGGAATAGATGCGTACACGCTTCACAAGCCGATTCGCCGAAAAAAATTTCCAACGAATAGAGTAATCGTGTATTCTATAGATCAACAATGGCAAGCTGATTTAGTGGATGTTTCACATTTACGTGATCATAATGATGGTTATCGATATATATTAACCTGTATTGACATATTATCCAAATATGCATGGGCTATTCCTCTGAAACAAAAGAGAGGAGAAGATATTGTGAAAGCGTTTCAAAAAATAATGAGCCAACGTAAACCAAAATTACTTCAAACGGATCAGGGCACCGAATTTAAAAATAAAGTGTTTATAAAATTTTTAAAAAGAAATCAAGTTAAACTTTTCAATACATTCAATACTACTAAAGCATCCGTGGTGGAAAGGTTTAATCGCACTTTGAAAACAAAAATGTGGAAATACTTTACGACTCGAAATACATATAAATATGTAGATGTCTTGGACAAATTAATAGAAAGTTATAATGCTACTTTTCATTCAAGTATAAAGCGAGCTCCCATAGAAGTCAATTCAGAAAATGAGAGTGATGTATGGTTTACCTTGTATGAAGATCATCCTTCTAACGTTTCTAAATGTATATTCGCTGTAGGAGATGTGGTACGTGTTTCCAAACTAAAGCTTACTTTCGAAAAAGGTTATGAAACCAATTGGACGGAAGAACTATTTGTGGTGACAGAGTGTGTTAAAAGACATCCAGCCGTGTATAGAATTAAAGATTTACTTGGAGACTCAGTAAAAGGAACGTTTTATGCACAAGAGTTGCAGAAAGTGAGACTGAAAGAGGAATATCGCATTGAAAAAATTTTAAAGAAACGTATGCGTAAGAAACAGACAGAATACTTTGTAAAATATCGCGGTTATCCCGACAAATTCAATCAATGGATTCCAGCTTCTAATTTACTCTCGATATAAAGTGTGAGAAAATACTGTATCCGAATCATTTGTGAAAATGAGTTTCTACGTAACACTTCCGAGCGATAGCTCTATGAATTATTTCCCCGAAAATAAAATTTCACATTTTATAACACGTTTACCTGTTCCCATTGAATTAAAAGGTATGTGGGAAGTTGGTTTGGTTGAATTGCTATATCCGCACACATGGCACAATGTGAATGCAGACAATAACTTAATTGGATTTGTTTTAGAGAAAGATGGTGAAATGTTAGGTCGTAGATTACCTCCAGGATGTTATGAAACAGTACCTGATATTTTAAAAGCTATTTATATTAAAGAACATCAAAACAAAATAATTTTTAATTATAACCCAGTAACAAAACGAGTGAAAATCAAAGTGAAAAATAACGCTAAAGTGATTTTACATGATGGGTTAGCACAAATGTTAGGTTTTGAACCTATGGAAATTACATCTACAGATGATAGTTCCGAAACTGTTGTAGAAAGTCCTTTTGCAGCCGACCCCTGTGCACATTATCGTGTATTAATGATATATATACGGATATTGTAGAACCTCAAATCGTAGGAGATGTTTTAGCTCCTCTTACTTCGAATTGTAAGAGTAACTGGTAGCGATGGAGAAGTGGTGAGTGCACTATTTGATAGACCTCATTATTTACCTGTGAATCGGAAAATGATAGACACTTTGGAAATCGATATAAGAACGCATATGGGAGCATTTACGCCATTTGAACGAGGAAGGTCATACGTGAAACTTCATTTCCGTCAAAAATACTTGTCATAATGTATGTACCTTATCAGTGTTGTCAAAAATCTTTTGAAGATTATTATGTACAACAAACAGGACATGGATTGA